ATATATATATATATAAATCACGTGTATTAACTTGAAGACGGATACACCGTTGGTTGCCAGGTCGCGGACGAATATATATATATATATATATATTTATTTATTTATTTATTTATTTATTTATTTATTTTTTTCAAAACTCAATTCCTTAATTTATTAATTGCCTTACTTGTAGGTAAAGTAATTATCAAATATAGAAATTGATTGTTACCTAATAATAATCATTAAACACGATAAGAGAATTAGTATCTAGGGGAAAAAAAAATGATTTTCTAGATTTTTGAATATACTAAAATAAGAAAAGGCAATATCAATTAAATCTAACCTTATATTCACTTATTAAATAAATTTAAAAATATCTAGGATGGTATACTATCTATTCTACACTAGTTGTAATTGTTATAACAAGAAATCATATCCTATTATATATAGAAAACTATAAAAATCCCAGTTTAATGATTATGGTCAAACAACTTACCATTCAGTCAGTTAGTACAGGATACTGAAAAATCTATAACATTTTTTCTCAAAATTTTGACAATTGATTTTCCAAAGTATGACAATTAAAGTCATCTAAAAATCACCAAGTGTAATAAACAAGTCAATAAATAAAGTTTGTAAAAATATGACATATTTTTCAGCAATCCCCTATTTGGCTTGCTTAATTTCAAAAAATAATGCTTGGTTTTAATGTCATATGTGTGATAACTGTGATCAAACAATTTGCATAGGATACTCACCCTTAGTCAGTATTCAGTTGAAAAATAGTTATACACAACCCATCATTGACCTCATACTCCTCCCAACTAAAACATCCTAAATATGAAGGATGAGGAGAAAAAACATGAGTGACAAAGCAAAAGCATAGCAGTATAACATTATGAAAAGTTAATTCAACTAACAGGCAAACAAACAAAGTTTTCATGTCTTCACCATCAAAATCTAAACATATCCCCCTTCTTTTTAAGTTAAATAAATAGCCACAGAATGTAGGGGAGAAACACAACCAAATAATGAGTGTATGGTATATAATACTATCGTCTATAATTGTGTGTGAACAAATAGATGCAAATAGTTAAGGTCACAGGGTTAGGATTTGAGAGTTGAAACTAAAGAGGCAAAACTAGTCAATCATCAGACTTCCTGATAGGATAAAGCATAAATGAGCACACCATATTGATTGGATAATTCAATTTTGTCCCAATAATTATGGATGAACCAAGAATTCACATCATATTTCATTTGTAAATAAAGCCCTAATTTTAATTTTAAGTTTGATTTTTTTAAGGAAATGCAAACAAATACACATAAAATGAACACACACAGAGAAGAAAATAAAGTACATCAAGGAATGTGTACTACATCATTAAAATGTCTACGACTTTTCGAAAAGTTTCAAATCTAACAGCGTCTAAAGCCTTGGTAAGAAAATCAGCCAATCGACATTCACATTGTATGTGTTCTAGGACAATTACATTACTTTCAACCAATTACCTAATAAAGTGATGTGTAATGTCAATATGTTCGGTCCTAGAGTACTGAACATTATTTTTAGAAATATTAATAGCACTAGTTTTATCACATAACATAGTAATAAAATCTTGATCAATATCATAATCACTGAGCATTTGCTTTATCCAGAGTAGTGAAGAGTATTTGCTTTATCCAAAGTAGTGAAGTACAGCAACTACCGACCTCTACATACTCAACTTCTATAGTAGATAAGGATATGGAGTTTTGTTTCTTACTTAACTATGCAATGAGATCGTTATCTATATAGAATCAGTCTCCACTAGTTTTTTTTATCATCCAAGTAGCATTGGCATATGCTATAAGATGTCAATTTAAGTCATTAGTATAACAGAAACTAAAACTCAAAGTGTTGTTGAGATATTGAATGATTCGCTTTACAGTAGCCAAGTGAGATTCTTTTGGTTTGGCTTGGTATTGTTCACAAATTCCAACATTGGCTTGATATCGCACACAAACTCCAACACTGAAGGCTATGTCAAGACGACTTGTAGTCACATACAAAAGACTGCCTATCATGCTCACGTACAAGCTCAAATCAACGTCTTTGGCCTGGTTATCTCTACAAAACTTCAGAGATGTGACCATAGGAATCCTAACTATCTTGGTGTTTTCTAGGCCAAACTTCAACATCTTATGCTGACCTATTGTGTACTATGAAGAACTCTACACAGTGGTGAACCATTTGGGATGGTATCTCATCTCTACTGCAAGAGTGATTTTTCTTCTTGGGATGATGCATCACGAGTGAATCCACATATCGAAAAAGCTATGGAGTCAACTCATGGTCTACTAGCAATTTGTCAGAGGCAGCCCCAAATAGGATGTTTATTGAGCTCCCATTGTCCACCAATATATCCTTCATCCCTTTGCGTACTAACATGACCTTTACCATTACGGCATTACAAAGTGGATAATGTAGACTAGTCACATTTTCTTGGGTGAAGGTAATGGGGTGAAC